GGATTCTTTCACTAGCACCACCACTCAGAAAACATTCAAAATTAGAGAGACTATCACTTGTTCATCATCTTTTGTTATTTATCTTATTTCATGCCCATGTGGTCTACAATATATTGGCATAAAGACCCGCATCAACGAGCACAGGAGCTCTATTAGAAGGATGGACAATCATTCTCCTGTAGCCAGACATTTTGTGGATGCTGACCATAAATTTAGTGATATGAGATTTACAGGTATTCAGAGATTGATCAGTTCAAGAAGAGGTGGTGATTCTAACAAAAGACTGTTACAATGTGAAGCTAAGTGGATCTATTATATGGACTGTGTATATCCGAAGGGATTAAATTAAGAACTTCAATTGTCTTGTTTTTTTAGGAATAGTACTTTTGTTAACTCCAACAGACAACCATTGTTCTCTAATTTGATGTAGATTATCCATTGCTCTACATATACACACATTGTGGCTTTTTTTTTGTGTGTGTGTGTTTTTTTTATCTGTGTGTGTCCTGATTGATCATGTGATCTCTTTAATTATCATGTGATTCCTCAAATTAAGATGGCTTCTAGTTCTAACACTGTTAGCTTGGCATTGAAAATGGTCAACATGTGACCGAAACGTTTTACTTGATTCTTTCAGTAAATTGCTTATATTGTTCTCATCTCGCTTGTGATGCTTTGATGTTTGAGTGTGCAGACTTTTTTCAAGCTCATTACTAGCTCTAAAATAATGTTTTTTAATCAGCAATGGAATTCTGTGATAGAGAACACTCTGACAATTTTCATATGGATTGAGATGAATTTTGTTGGCTGTTTTGGGGCGGTAACAGTATATATTAATAAGGGGTGGGGGCAAAAAATGATTTTGCATGTCACAATAAGAGGTAAATCTGGCCCTGCACATAGCAACACATTAACCCTTCTGTGGTCTTCCGTCACTTCTGACTGGAGAATTTTTGAATTTTTAAAAATCACAGCTTCATCAGAATGGTACAAAACTTGGTGACTTTTATGGCACTCGGAATGTGAACACAGGGAAAAACAATTGAGGGCATGATTCGAACAGGCTAAGTGGTCGTAAAAAAATAGTCACACTCTTGGTCTTCGGTCAAAAATGACTGACCATAGGAAATGAATGGGAAATGGACAAAAACAGAACAATTCAGAGAATGTGTCGCCCACAATACTGAAAAAAAGATCAAGGCAGTGAAGGGATGACACTATAAAACATCAAGAGTGTGATATAGACACATCCAATCACTCACACACACACATACACACACACACTCACACACACACACACACACCTATGAACCACTGTGTCTGTAACTAGGAATTACACAAGCTTCAGTCTGGATCCATCCCTTACAAAGACCTCTTGCTTACAAATACCCTTGCTGGTGAATTCTCTCGTCAGATACAACAAAGTGCAAATGTGTGTACGAATCTGTAAGATATTAATTTCACAGTGTAAACGGCTTCAGTGGTTTTAATGGGAGTTTTTGAGAGTGCTTGAACTAGACTGTCAGTGAAACTGTTCTTTGATAATGTAAATGTTCTTTGCTCTCTTTCTGTGAATTCACATTAAATATAAACTCAGTCGTATTAAAAATATGTTATGGCATGACATCCATATCTGTTAATTAAGTAAACAGACAGGTTTTTATGCATATTAATAGATTACATTATTAGGTTACTTTGACTATCACCCACTATAGATCAACATAATCTATAAAGGTGAGAATCAAGATATTTCATGATATAGTTAATGCGTTTGGAGATGTTTCAAATTAAAAGGAAAAAATAAATATAAGTGCTGTTGTGGCTGCTGTGTGTCACATGACGAGCATGACGAGGCCAGTCTAGTTACACTAAATAACTAGAAGGGGAAGTCGTGGCCTAATGGTTAGAGAGTCGGACTCATAACCCAAAGGTTGTGGGTTCGAGTCTCGATCACAGCACACACTGGCCCGGCTAACCGATCACAGCACACACTGGCCCGGCTAACCGATCACAGCACACACTGGCCCGGCTAACCGATCATTCGAGCCGTTCATGCCAGCCTGAGGAGAGAGGTGTTGTAATAATGTAAAATATGTGAAAAATAATGTGTTTTTCGAACAACCTTGTTCTAGTACACCCCCAAAACAAAATCAAGACTTTTTAAAAGAGCATAATAGGACCCCTTTAGCACAATGTTCAGGTTTGACTGCTATCATAATGCAAAAACTAACACTTCAAATCACCATTTCTAACAATAAAATATCTAAAACGTGACAAAAAGTAGTCTTTGAGATTGTTTAAATATATAGTCAAATCTCCCACCTAATAAAAAGATGTAATTATGTCTAAAAACAACTAGGCAATTCACATGCCGCTCTATACAGGCAACTAGTGGTTACACCATGACATTACATGTGTTTTTCTTTTTTTAACAACCAGATGATGCTAATCTGCCTTCCAAAATTGAAAAATAATTGTAAAAATGTAATAAAAAAATTATTTTATTATATACGTGTCTTCTGCTCACCAAGCCTGCATTTATTTGATCCAAAGTACAGCAAAAATATATATTTTTTTTTTATATTTTTACTATTCAAAATAACATTTCTATTTGAATATATTTTAAAATGTAATTTATTCCTGTGATTTCAATACTAAATTTTCAGCATCATTTAAGTAGTAAAAATATTTCACCATATATCTGCTTTTGCTGTATTTTGGATAATAAATGCAGGCTTGGTGAGCAGAAGAGACTTCTTTAAAAAATATTAAAATCTTACTCTTTAACTTTTGACTGGTAGTGTATATAGTATATATGTGTATATAAATATATAAATAAATATATATTTTTAAATGTATTATTTCTATTTCATCATAAATGTATAGTAGAATTGATTTGTATCAAAGTTATTAATAAGCAAAAATCATATAAAAATGATTTATAGATTTGCATTTTCCCAAAAAAATGTAGAAAAACAGGCCATTTTGAAGATGCCGTGTTTTTGCAATCCGTTTGTTCATTAATCGTGTCTCAGTAGTCTTGTCTCAGCAGCATCCTGATGAACCTTTCCAGCTCTTTCTCATCACGGACCACTTGAGGAGTCTCCTGAGGAGCATGCGTCCGTTCTGCATGTGACCCAGAGCGATGTAGGAGCCCTCCAGCGAGGGACAGGACACGTCTGTCCCGAGCCCAGACCAGGAGCCGATCCGAGTCTGAATGCTGGAGAACAAGAGGGCAAAGGAACAGAAATTAACTCTTTCCCCGCCGGCGTTTTTGAAAAAAGTTTTGCTGATTTTCACTAAAATTTCATGGCCCCCAGAATATTTTGCTGTAGGAATATCTGAACATGCAATACATTCAAACAAAATCAGACCGTCTACTTTCAAACAAAAAAATCAGTTTTGTTCTAGCTTCAAGCATTGTTTTTTTTTATCAACACTTGAATGTAGGTAGGTTTCATAAAAAAAGCAACATTTTGAGCAAAAAGCTGAGAAAAGTTTTAGTTGCGAAAATAAAAAAATCTTAAAAGCAATGTTTCTAAAATGTTCTGGAAACGTAGTTTTAGTTGCGAAAATAAAAACTAGGGGGCAAAACATTTCTAAAACATTTTGGGAATGTACTTCAGTTTTAGCTGGAAAAAACAACATTTCTAATACTTTCTAGGAATATACTTCAGTGTTAGAAAATAACTTAAAATGTTCTAGGAACATATTTTAGTTTTAGTTGGGAAAATAAAAACATAAAAACTGTTTCTAAAATGTTATAAGAAGTGATTCCCAAAGAAATAATCAAATGGAAACCATAAACCAATGTTTGAGGAACATTTCATGTTTGCCAGCATAATGGAAACATAATGACGTCCCCAATCAATACAACATTTACAGTATATAGTCCATCTAATCTACAAGTCGGTGAAATAAACTTTTAGCAGATGAAACACGTTTAAAATGTAGTCTTTCTCTTTTAGAAAACCCAAAATATTGACGACTCATTTTGCAGTATAATCATGAAAAAATAAATCAATAAATACAACTGAAACCCAGAAAAATCCTCACTGTGGCCACTAGATGGACACATTCAACATATATGACCACAATAAATAATTGAGGTCATTACTGGATCCTCATTAAAAAATATATATAAACCGAGAATAAACAATATAACCCTTTAATGGCTAAATATGTGTCCACTGCTGTCAAAGACTGCGGCGGATAATACTCTGTGGAAATAGTGACAGTGTTTGTGTTTATTGCACGTGTGTCTCTACATAGTGTTAATCATAATTATTTGTGTAGTAAAGAGCTGTCATAGCGTCACTATGATCATATATAACCCCCAGTGAACTGTTTGCATGTTCAGCTGTCAACATAAACAGATTCACATTCATTCAGTGACTGCAGGCATGAAATATCTCAACATGCAGCTTATATACAGTGCAATAACTCACTGATAAACACAAACAAAAACACACAGCTACCATAACAATGATTAACCATATTTCTGAACACGTGTTAAACATGAAAGCTCAATTTCTTAGTAATTACTTTTCTTCTCTGTTTTGTTTCCAGTGTATCATCCCTCAGTCTCTCTCACCTTGAACCTCCACTGACATTTCAGGAGCTGCTCTATATTTTGCACACAAACACAATTCTGAATCTGATGAGCTATTTAAAGCCTTGCAGAACCATGGTGATAGTCTCAGACTTTTTACAAACATATTTCACATGGCAAACCTAATCTCATCTAAGAAAGCCATAGAAATAGGAGTTATAAGTCTGATCTGAGAATCATGACCTGTCATTTTAATATGAATTCTTCGCAATTCAGAACCAAACCTTATTATTTCTTTAATCCGTCCTCATTCTAGCTCATACTTTTCTAGACAATTTTTGAAAGTTTGCATTGCTAGCATTTATTTTAAGATTTCTCATTTCTCACAAGTTCCTTTGGATGAAAGTGCCAGATGAATAAAAGTAAATGTAGAGACAAATGCTACGAAATGGGTTGGTTTGTAGACAGACAGATGAGTGTGACATCAGTATTTACAGAAAAAACAGTGACTCTGAAGACTGAGCTGAGTGATATCATGTCGTCAGTTATGGAAGTGTGAAGTTCTTCCAGTGTTTCTGTCAGAATGTGGAGGAGAAATAAACCCCTCAGTCATTTTTTCCCATCATCATCATCATCATCCTTTGACCCCTGGCTGTTCTCACCCTCGAGAAGCTTCTATGATCCTGTCGTCGACTGAAGAGAGAAAGACATTGAAATCACACCTGTGTCTCCCGTCAAACACCTCGCTGACAGAGAAGGAAACTCCTCACGGCAGACGCCACCGAAGACAGAGAGAGACAGACACATACAGGCAGACAGAGAGAGATAGCTGGACAGAGACAGATGGATGGCAGACAGACAGATGGACGGCAGACAGACAGACAGACAGACTGGGAGAGACAGACAGATGGATGAATAGACAGACAGAGAGACGAACAGATGGACAGAGCCACAGACAGATGGACGAACAGATGGACAGAGCCACAGACAGATGGACGAACAGACAGACAGAGAGACGGACAGATGGACAGACAGACAGACTCACAAAAAGAATGACAGACAGACTCAGACAGACTTATAGACAGACAGAAGGACAAACAAACAGACTCACAGACAGAAGGACGGACAGACAGACAGATAGACAGATGGATGGACAGACAGACATACTCACAGACAGATGGACGGACGGACAGACAGATGGATGGACAGACAGATGGACAGACTGACATACTCACAGACAGATGGACGGACGGACAGACAGATAGACAGATGGATGGACAGACAGATGGACAGACAGACATACTCACAGACAGATGGACGGACGGACAGACAGATAGACAGATGGATGGATGGACAGACAGATGGACAGACAGACAGACATACTCACAGACAGACTCACAGACAGATGTCCAGAAGGACAGACTCACAGACAGGCTCATAGACAGACAGACGGACAGACAGACAGACTCAAAGACAGATGGACAGACAGACGGACAGAAGGACAGACAGACAGACTCACAGACGGACAGAAGGACAGACAGACAGACAGACAGACTCACAGACAGATGGACAGACAGACAGACAGACAGTCAGGCAGACGGACAGGCAGGCTCATAGACAGACAGATGGACAGACAGACAGACAGACAGACTCACAGACAGATGGACAGACAGACAGACGGACGGACAGACAGGCAGGTTCATAGACAGACAGATGGACAGACAGACAGACAGACAGACTCACAGACAGATGGACAGACAGACAGACGGACCAGACAGACTCACAGACAGATGGACAGACAGACAGACAGACGGACGGACAGACAGGCAGGTTCATAGACAGACAGATGGACAGAAGGACAGACACATAGACAGACAGATGGACAGACAGGCAGGTTCATAGACAGACAGATGGACAGACAGGCAGGTTCATAGACAGACAGATGGACAGACAGGCAGGTTCATAGACAGACAGATGGACAGACAGGCAGGTTCATAGACAGACAGATGGACAGACAGGCAGGTTCATAGACAGACAGATGGACAGACAGGCAGGTTCATAGACAGACAGATGGACAGACAGGCAGGTTCATAGACAGACAGATGGACAGACAGGCAGGTTCATAGACAGACAGATGGACAGACAGGCAGGTTCATAGACAGACAGATGGACAGACAGACAGACAGTCGGACAGACAGACGGACAGACAGACAGACAG